CCAGACTTGGTGGCTGGCACAAGCCTGCAATCCCAGCCACTGGGGAGTCTGAGACAGGAGGGTTGCAAGTTCAAGGCCAGCCTGGGTCACTGCCTATTAGACCCTGTCTCAAAATAAAATATAAAGGGGCTGGGGCTGCAGCTCAGTAATACAGCGCCCCTGGGTTCAATCCCCGGTATGATCCATGGATTGACTGACAGATAAGGTAAAAAATTCAAAGTACAGCTGTACAGGGAAACAGATAAATAGGGAGCCAGGGCAGGAGATGTGGGGTTAAAGAAGGATATTTTGAAGATGGGAGATGCTTCGAGCAAATGAATGCAATGGGGGTGAGGGGGGTCCACTCAATGAGTAGTTCATAGACCAGGCAAGGGTGGTGAATGCCTGTAGAAGCCCTGGGTTAACATAGCCCTCTCTCCACAAGAAAGGACAGGGGCTGTGGGTGGAAACAGTCAGGAAGAGTCTCTGAGGATTATGTGGCAGATGTAGGATGACTTCAGACTGTGGGAGCCTGGCTTGGAGGTGCACGCCTGTAATCCCAGTGGCTCAGGAGGCTGAGGCAGGAGGATCTCGAGTTCAAAGGCAGCCTCAGAAAAGGCAAGGTGTTAAGCAATCCAGTGAGACTCTTGTCTCTAAATAAAATACAAAATAGGGCTGGGGATGTGGCTCAGTGGCTGAGTGTCCCTGAGCTCAATCCCCAGTACAAAAAAAAAAAAAAACACAAACTGTGGGAAGTCCTGGCCTGGGTGCTGTGGGGATACCAGGATAGCTGGCTGAACACAGGCCTTCAGAAAGGTTGGAAACCAGCAGGCAAGCTATGCCGTTTCTGGAATATTGTTAAAAAGTGGTTGATTCTGTCGCTGATGTACAGCCACCTACAACACCCCCCCCCCTGGGGTGGGGAGACCTGCTGGTGGAGTTTGCTGAGTCCTAGAGGTTCCCTGAGAAGACATTAGCTGGGGGAGAGGAGAATGGCATTTTCGCCTGAAATTTGTACATTTTTCTCATAGGGATTAAAATTACACGTCCTGGAAGGCTTTTTAAAAATTGGAAATAAATAAAAATCCCAAGAAGAATTTATATTCCTGATGGCTTTGCTGATGGTCTTGTAAATTGTACATTTAATCAAAGGCACTCGAATGTCTTTTTTTTTTTTAACTATTGAGGAGCCATTTAAATGTCAACATAAGTGATTCCCTCCCAAACAGTGCTGTTTATACATTACTCCCCCTAATAGACCATAATGATTCATAAGGAGGCATTTCGCGCCTCTAAATTGTAGGCCTATTGAAATATAAATTAAGATGATAAATAATTTGACCTTACCTGAGAGTACTAAGTATTTACATGTGTCAAATACGAAATTACCCTGAACATCGGGGTCCCTAAAAAGGCAGCCTTCCTCTCCTGGCTGAATTTAATAAATAAAACGGGTTTATACATTTCCCTGAGAGTGAGGAGGAAAAAAGGGAACACAAAAGATCGGGCTCGGGGAGCCGGTCGTCCCCGCCCTCCCGACTTCCCGGGAGACTGGAAGGGGGCGCGGAGCCCCCTCGCGGGGCGCGATCCGCGGGTGCAGGCCGCCCCCGCGCGCTCCCCTCTCCCCCTCCTTCCGGGACGCCGCTGGAGTTTCAAAACATGGAGTTTCCACAGGAACTTTGCCAGGCCGAGCTCGCAGCCCTCCCGGGTTCCCGCAGCGGGATTCGCCGAGTCGGCGGCGCCGCGCAGCCTCCCCGCCCCCACCCCCTCCGGGGAGTCGCTGACCCGGCGGCCCCCGGCAGCTCCGCCAAACCGCTCAGCGGGGTTCACCGCCCGAGCAGGCGCGGGGCCTCCGGGGCTCCGCGCCCCCGCCCGACCCTGCCTCGGCCCCGAGGGTGGCAGCCCATCACCCTCCGCGGGGCCCGAGCCGAGCCCGTCCTCTGGGCCTGTGTGTTCGCCGCCGCCGGCGCTGCCTGCTCTCGGGGCCCGGGGCTCGGCGAGCTCTCCGATCCCCCGCCGGGGGCTGAGGAGCGGGGGTCGCCGAGGCGGCGAAGGGGCTCGGGCCCGGCGGGCAGAGGCTGGGCGCGCTGGCCGCTCGCGCCGGGGTTTTGTTTTGTTTTGAAGCCTGCGTGGGGGATGGGCAGCACCTTGCCAATGAGAAATTTCCTGTTCGCAAGACTCAGCTTGCAGAGTTTCTGTCCTGTCCTTGAACTGACAAGTGGATCTCGGCTGCGCGAGTTCCTGAGAGTCAAGCCAGCCGCGCCAGGCGCGCGCGGGGGTGGGGGCGGGGGCACCGGCGCCGAGGGCCCAGGAGCCCGGCTGAGCGGGGCCGACGCCTGCCCTCCCGGTTCCCGGGCGCACCCGTGAGCGCCGAGCCGAGCGGTGACTAATCTGCGGCTCCGGGCCTCTTGGCGCGCAGCCCGGGCTCGCCTCCCGCCCCCTGGTCCCTCCTCCTCCTCGGCCCCGGCGCGCAGAGCTCCGCCGGGTGAATCGCGCGGGCCAGAACCGCTGCTGCGACCGTGTTCCCGGGAGTGTGGGAAGCGGGTCGAGGCGAGCGGCTCCAGAGCGGTCTCCAGTCGGCCTGCTCCGACCCGGGTGCCACTGTGCATGTGTTTCCTTCCCCTTAGGCACTTTGGTCAGCGTTTCCTCCACGCCGCCGAGGAGCCAGGGCGAACTGGGGCTTTTAACCCCTTCAATGCCGGCCCCACCGTGGCGGAGAGGGTGCCGCAGGGACACTGGTCGACACCGGGCGCGATCAGTTTGTTTTGGCAAGCTGGAGCCTGGAGGAGCCCGGTCGGATCCGAGGAGCTTGCCCAAGCGCAGCACACTCTCCTGGGGAGAACAGGCCGCGAGGCCCGAGGCGGCTCGTTAATGTTCAAGCCCGCCCAAGGGCCGCGCAGTAACCCGACCTGCCCGGCGAGGCCAGGTGCGGGCCTGAAAGGCCCTGAGGGCGGAGGCTTCTGGAAGGGACCGGGAGGTTCTGGCGGGACCTGCCTTCACGCACCCTGTTGGCTGGCAAGCACGTGGATGCCTTCCAGCCCCTTGCGCTCGCCCTGCAGACTCGGCTCTGGCCACCGCTCCCTCCCTTGGCCTGGCCTCGCCAAGGAGTTAATGATTGATTTACTGGCTCCGCGAGGCCGGCGCCCTCCCAGCTATTTGTCCCAGCTGAGGAGTTGCTGGCGAATAGCGCAGAGGCCAAGAGAGAGCGGGGGTCTCCCAGGATGGGAGGCCGGGCTGCCGACGGGTAGGAGCGGCCACTTGATTAGCTCCCACTGGGCGGCTCTAGTCGTGTCCGGGGCGAACCCGCGGGAGGCCGGGCCTGGGCGAAGGAAGCATTGGGAAGCACCGCATGTAAATGGGTTGGCAGCTGGTGATTAGGCCGCCCGGTTTTATGAGTCATAATGGGCCGCCCGCCTGGCCCTCAACCTGCTCCTTGTGGACCCAGCGCGCCAGGGCCCAAGCGGTGCACCGTTCCCAGCCGCGCAGAGGGGGGGTGCTCCAGGGGGCCCTGGTCGCCGTAGGCGTTGCGCAGGATTTCCTCTCATTTCTCGTAGAAGGCAACACAAACACCCTAAATCAAACCGCTCCGACAACCGAAGGCTCCACACAGACACATCAATAAGGATTTCGCCTCCCGCGTTCGAACGCACTGAAACACTTGTCCTATTTTTATGCAAATGACACCACACAAATAGATCTCGCAGGCCCGGGAGAGGGGCGGGAGGAGGAGGGGCGCCGCCGCCCCATCCAGGGGGCGGTAAGGAAGGAGGGGGCGCCAAGCCCGCACCTTGGGGCCCGCGCCGGCTAGGGCACAGTGGGGCTGGCACTGGCCAGGCGGCCCGCCCCGCGTGCGGTGGCTCCCTGCCAGCGCCGCCAAGTCGGCCGCGTCCCCAGGCTGCCTGCAGAGGCGGATTAGGGAAGGAGCGAAGCGAGCCTGTGACTAATCGCGGGGCCTCGGACCGGAGCACCAAGGCCATGTGCGACTGACAGGATCGACACTAGCAGAGGACACGGCGACGCCTCGCTTAATTGCAGGCTTAAAAAATTGCCGCCTGAGCAGCTCTGGTGCGGAGAGCCACGGCGTGCGCGACGGTCTAGGGAGCGCGCCGCGCGTGTGGAGGGGGTGGGGGTGGGGGTGGGGGTGGTGGGGATCCTGCTCTCTTGCCCCGAGGGAGGGAGGTTTGGTGTCTCTGAATCTAGGGACCTGACCCTCGCCTCCCCCACTCTGCAGGGTCGCCCCACCCGATTGAGTGTGGCCGAGCTGGCCAGCAGAGTACGATGCAGCCTCCAGGGCTAGGTTTTCGATCCTTTCCCGGGTACAGTCCACGTTCCCCCTTCTCGTCCTAGATCCTATAAAGGAGGAGGCTGTGCAGTTGGGGGTGAGAGATTCCAATAAAACCTTAAAATAAAAACCACACGCAAGAAACACTTTCTCTTCCCTCCTCTTCTCCACTGGACTGAGATACAAAGCCCCAAAGGACCAAAGGGAAGGAGAAGCAGGCAAGTCCAGGCTGCAAGGAGCGAGGTCACCGAGTGCCCCAAACTCGGGGCTTACAGACACGCATCCTGGGCCCCGTCACCCACGGTCACAGTCCTTGTGTCCCAGACCTCCTTCCTGGAGTGCTGGAGCCTCTCGGGGAGAAGCGTCGCCGGGCGGCGGATCTGTGTGTGGGGGAGGGGAGGAAGGCGGGGTGGTGGGGAACCCAGCGAGAGAAGTTTCCACCACGCTCTGGTCCACTGCTGCCAAAATCCCCGGGCCCCTCCCCGCCCTCATCGCCTTCCGTTGCCACCACAAGTTTGGTTTAACGAGAGCTCAGGACAAAAGCAAACGTTTTCTATAGACCCCGAAAACAAAGGGGAAAGAGACGCGCGGGGCCGCAGAGAAGCGGCTGCTAGCGTAATGGTGCCAGGCCGAAAGCAGAGCATTAGAACTGTAAAAGCCGCTCGGGCGGGAGGAAGTGCGAGGCGGGAGGCGGGAGGCGGGAGAGCGGGGAGGGCGGGCGGGGGAGGGGCGCTGCGCCATGTTTCCGTGTCACCCGCCGAGTCGCCGGCGCTGGGCTCGGCCGCCGGCTCCCGCCTGCCTCCGTAACAGCAGAAAGCGTGCGATTAGCAGCCAGACAGGCGGGGACTCCGGGCCCGCGGGGCCACCGCACACGCCGCCCGCGGCCCGGGCCCGCGCCCCCCGCCCGCCGGGTAATCATCCTCCTCGCTGCAGCGCTGTGTGCACTCTCATTAGAGCAGGGAGGCTTTTCTCTGCGCACTCGCTCGACTCCCGCTGGCAAAACAACGCCTTCCCCGGCCGGGCCCTGGGCCAGGAGAGTCGGGGAGGGCGGGACGCGGGGGGGGGAGGGGCAAGGCCAGCCGCGCAGGTTAGCTGGACCGCCCGGGCTCGTCAGGGCACGGAGGGGATGGGGGGTCCATCTGTCCTCCCCCACGCTCAGTGGCAAAGTCGAAGCCCAGTACCAGACTCTATGTCCCTATGGGGACGGGGGTGGGGTGGGGTGCTGGTGCCGCCTTGACCTACTCCCGTTCCCCGCCCGTGGCTCGAGGGGGGCCGAAGGGCAGATGAGTGTCTGGTTGGGAGAGCGGGGACTGACACTGGGAAGGCTCCCCAAACAGGTTTTCCCCCATCTGTCTTGCAGACGACCTCTTAAGGCCAGAAGCCGGATCCCAGGGTGGTGGCCCTTCGACCCTCGAAAGGAGACCCGGGTCGTCGGCAGGCCTTCTGGCTTTGGGCTTGATCGCCCAGAGAGGGTGGGAGATGGGGGTAGCCGAGGACCCCGCTGCTCCTGGCCCCGAGCTTCGGAGCCCCATTTTCTTCTCCGCGATCTTTGCACACAACAGTAAGGCAGCCTCTCCCGGCACCACGCGCCCAGCTGCAGGGCCCGGGAGCAGGTGTTCTTGCCCGGCCGGAGTGGCGGCTCCGCGCCCCTCCGGTCCCAGCTGCGGGGCTGGAGAGGGGGGGCGGGGGCGTGCTTCTGGCGGTGGCTGAGGGATGTCTCGCCGGACCGCGAGGAGGGTCCTCTGGCTTAAATGGGGGATACCCCAGGGCGCGGACTGTCTGCCTGTGGCGAGGAGGGAGCAGGGGTGACGTGCGGCCAGCCCTCGTCTGCAACAGCCCTGGGGGCCCGCGGAGGCCTCTCAGGGCGGCGCGAGGGCTTCCGGCCCCCGTGACGGCGGCGGCTGGGCGGCCGGGAAGTTCCCGGGGCGGCCGCGAGGAGCACCCTCCACTGGCTGCTGCCGCCGCACAGCTCTCGGAGCGGCGTCCTGGGAGCCTCTGGGTGTCTGGCTACGCGGCTGTCGGCTTGCGCGGGGATGGGGGCCGCGGGGTGGTCCCGGCCCAGCCCCCAGCGGGGAGGCGGGGGCCAGGGACCCCGCAGGAGCGGCCGCGCGCCTCCCAACCCCCCTCCTCGCCACCGCCGCCGCCGCTGATATGGCGGGCACGTGAAGCGCAGCTCGGCGCCCCGGCGCCAGCCAGGGAGCGGCCTGCCCCGCCGGCTCAGCTTACCCGCGGGTCCAGGAACGCGGAACCGAGCCTGGCCCGGCCCCGCGCCCCTGCCCCCTGCTTGACGCGGCCACGCACCCCCACCCCGCCCGCGCCTGGCCTTGGGGCCGCGCCAGACGGCTTGCCCGAGGGGAACTCGGGCTGACTAATGGGACGCGTGTGGGCCTTACGTGAGGCCCGGCTGTCAGCGGATGCCCGCTCGCTCGGCGCTTACGCCGCGGCCAGGCTTTTCGGGGAAGGGCTAGAGGAGGGGTTTCCCCGCTCGGCGGTTTCGGCTCCCCCGGGACGGTCCGTCTGTGGCTGGCCCCGGACTCTGGGTCTTGCAGCCTGGCCGGAGGGAGCAGATTCGCTGCACGCCGGGCTCCAAGGATGGCACCCGAGATGGGGACCGAGGGGGCGGGTTGGAGCCTCAAGACTCTGAGCCGAAGGTGGGCAGAGAGGCTGGGTCAGCTTGGTTTGGGGGCAGGCCCTTCTTGATGTCTGCAATCTGGGGCCAGCAGCTGAGCTGGGGGGATTTCGCAGGCCGCCCTGCGGGCCTGGAGTTCGGTACTGAAACCTTCCTCAACAAATACAGAGTCTTCCGGAAACCCCTTCGTGAGATTCCTGTGCGGGGGGGGGGGGGGGGGGGGGGCGGGGGGGGCGGAGAGGATTTCTTAAAACTCCCGGAGAGTCCAGTTCGGCTAGAGTTGTCGGATTCTGGGGCGTGTGATGCCTTTTCCTCCCTTTACAGGGGCCTGTAAAAATCAGCAGAGTTTCTTATTATTTCACATTAACAACCACCTCATGTTGACATAGTTATATGACCCTCCCAAACATAACTACCTACTCAGTTTCAACACAGAAGCGCGATGGGGAAACATACATGGACCAGTAACTAAGAGAAGGAAAACGCGGCTTCGAGCTTGGGTTGGATGCAGGATAAATCCTCATCACGCATCCCTGGTTTTATTCAGCCTAATTACACTAGTAATCCTGCCCCCCACGAGAAAGCCTGAAACCCTGCAGTAGAGGTGCGACTTTTCCTGGGGAGCCTCGCCAGTGGGGCGGGGGTAGCTGATGGAGGGGAGGTGGGTTTTAAATGTCACTTCCAAATGAAAATGCTTTCCTTCAGCCTTTTTCTTTTTTTGATGCAGTTTTCGAAAAGGAGCATTTTGGCGAGATAAGAAGTGACCGATCAAAATCGCTGAGGGGAGGTTGTAAGCAGCCGCTTTGCCCCAGCTTAGCCTTATCTTATCTTTCACACTTGCATGGCGGAAAAAAAATTGGCTTATCTTTATCCCCACCCCCTTCTCGCCTTAATTGCTAAAAAACACTGGTGTGTTAAACGGGCAGGAAGGAGGTCTCTGGATTGTCAGTAGAAAAGGAAGATTCAAAAATGGGGGCTCCTGGGGGGAAGGGAGGATGGCAAGGTTTATTCTTTCCCCCGGGGCTTTCTAGAACAGCACAGAGGGTCCAGTCGAGGCTGGAAGGCCCCATGGCCAGAGTTTTTGTTTTTTTTTTTTTAGGAAAAAAACAAAACAACACAGGATGGCCTTGGTTCCAGCGGCTTCTCCAGGCCTCGCTTTCTCAGCACTGCCTTTACCAACCTCTCAAAAGCCTGCGGAGGGTCTCGGGTTGAGGTCTTCCTGCCTCCACCCCTCCTCCTCTATACACTTTCCCCTTTTGGGGAGGGGGGATGCAAGGCTGGGGCGCATAGCCTGCTGGAAATCATTAAAATATATGCGAGTGTCTGCAAACACACACTTTTAAATCATGGCGTTTCCCCTCCACGCTGGTATATTTAAACTCCAGAGCGAGCTGGATCTCCTCCCTCTCAGTCGTTTGTCTGTGTCACCGACAGGCCGCTAATGGCCGGGCTTCCAGGCGCTGTGCATTATGCATTAGCCTCCTCCCTCCGCCGCACACAGAAGGTTCTGTCAGGCCTCGCAACAGAAACCACCCTGCAGCCCCACCGCTGCTAAGGCGCTGGAGAAGCAGTGATGGGGAGGCTGGGGGGCGGAGGCAGAACTGAGTGGCCCGGGAGGTGGAATGGGAGGGGGTAGAGTGTGCTGCAGATTAAGTTCTTTGGAATCCCCAGCTCTGCACGAGCCCAGAGGTCTGCTCCTGGCTGCGACTTTCCCAAGGCAACCACCCTGTGCCACTCACCTCTGTGCCCGGCTTTGGAGGGAGGCGGGTGAGCTCTGAGGTGTTTAGAGACAGATCAGCGCCGCGTTTCCATCTGCTGGCCCTCCCTTCCCCCCCTGCAGTGGGCGAGGGGCAGACTGAGCCTTCCAAACCTCTCCCCCCCACATACACCCCAGTCCCCGGGTAGTGCCCAAGAAGGGCCCGGGGTGGTGAGCCTCCGCAGGGACCCCGAGGAAGTGGAGAAGGGAAGCTGGATACAAAATGGCTGGGGCTGGAGGCCGGCTAGCTGAGTCCCAGGGCGAGTAGTTGACGGTTCCCCACCCCCTCTCCCTGCGGTTCCCACTCACTGCCCCCAGCCGCGTAAAATATGCGCAGGAGGCGCCTTGCTAAATAAGCACGCACCCGCGCAGGACGGGTCGTGGCTCCGGGTTTATCTGCAGGAGCATCCGGCCTGCAAGGCGGCTTCGAAGGCTCTTAAACTTAGGACAGGCCATGCAGGAGACAGGGCCTCCCAGAAGCCTCCTGTTTTTCTGCCCATTCAGTTGGCACCCAACCACCCTGCAGGCCCCACTGTGTAGACATGCCTGAGTCCCAGGAGCTCAGGTCATGACACAAATCCAATCCAGACAGTTCCTGTGAACCAGGAACTCTTTGGCCCTTCTTCCCCCAAACACTCAAGGACCCTCCAAGGGCCAGGCAGAAGAAAGAGCAGCCATCTTTAACATGGTGAACCCCAAGTTCAGCAGTGCTCTGCCCTGGAAGCAGCCACCTTCAGATGATTCGTCATTAGTTAAATCCCTGGGACAAGGATGGGAAGCAGGATATATGCTCTGTGCTTGGAAGGGTGAGCCAGTGCATCTTTAAAGTACCATTGGATAAGCCCAGAGTTCTTTTACAAAATGACCAGATGACGGTAGGTGTGAGTGTTTGGGTGTTTTTAAACAGTAACAGGCTACCTCACAGTTTGTAAAGTAAAAAACAAATTATACCCATTCAAATGCCAAAAGTTCCCATTACTCCAATATGGAGTGTCATAGGCCAGAGAACAGCCTCAGAGGAGGGCAGTCAGAGCCTAGAGAGCTTTTAGGATGTCTATTCTACTTTGTTACAAATATGCCCCTCAACAATGTTGGGAGCCCAGGGTGCCCCCCCCAAACACTGGCTAGGACCTCAACACAGGATTCCTGGCCTTTCCCCCAAGCCTGGGCATGGCTGAAGGTGTGAAAGAGGCCCTGGCACATCTTGCACAGTCACAGGCAGCAAGGCCTGTGGCCAGAAGCTCCAAGTTGCTTGCCCAGTTGCAGAACCTGGAGTAGCAGAGCGGCCCGGGCCTGAGGTCCAGCCATATGTTATAACCACAGGACCCTTTCATGGGGATGGGGCTGGTTGAGGAGGGGCAGCCCCCCCCCCAGCACCTCTCATTTCTGCGCTTATTTCTTTATTTCTCCACTGGCTACACGGCCTCCCCTCCCTTGCACTCCCTCTCTGCCTCCTCCTCTGCTTTTATTGAAATCCTCCCCTCTCTGAGTGCCTGGTATAGTGGCCTGACCCCCAGGTCAGCTCCCGAGGGGCTCCTGGGAGGGCAGAGGAGGAGGGAGCAGGGAAAGGGCCAGACGCCCGCACACACTGCAGGCTGAGTCCCCAGCTCCTGCAACCTCTTCCTGAGAGGGGCCATAAGATCTTTCTTGCTGCCTCTATTTCCCAGAACAATTCCAACTAAGGAGGCCAATAGGTGTAATCCTGCCCCCCCCCTTTTCCTTTGCCTTAGGGTGCCTCAGGAAAATCCCACGTTTTAATTCCCAGTGAGTCAATCCCCCCTCTCATGCCTCTTAGGACTCCTTTAATACGATATTTTTAAAATCCCATGGAGTTGGAAAATGTATCCCTAAGAGATGGAGAAGAAGCCCTTCAATCCCACCAGCCCATCCTGCAATATACCATGGAGGGGAGAGTCCTTGCAAAAGGAGGGCGTGAGGGGTGAATGCTGCAAATTAAGTCAAAGGCAAATTTACTGGCCTGTTTGTCTACAGCATCAAATTTCTTCTGCAGTCAGCCCTCACCACGGGCCCCTTTGCATTTACAGCACCCCCCTCCATTCATTTTAACTCTAGGACTTAAAGTTAGACAAACAGGCCCCTTTGTCAGCAGCCCCGGGAGGCCACAGGAGTCCGAGAAGCAGCAAGCTCCGTGGTCAGCTCCTGGATTTTCCAAAAGTTCTGGACTGTTATGTGCCACTAGAAACTCCGGGAAAAGCCTGTGCCTGGGGGGAGAGTTGGGGAGATGAGGGGAGGGGAGAGAAGGTGGCCAGGCACTGGGCCAGGGCCTCTGTGGTGCGGCCTAACCCAGCCGGAAGGGCCTGGCACCGCTCCGCACTCGCCCAGGCCAGCTCTCCCGCCCAGCCCACAGCAGCCCAGCGGCCTTTTCGCCTGGAACCGCATACACAGAGTTCCCCCACAAATCCCCAATGCCAGCCTTCCCAGTTATTTTAGACTTGTTTTGAATAAAAGGAGTCGCTTCAAAAAGAAATGTTGCTACAACACACAACTAGCGGCCTTTTCTCCAGCTGTGTCTCTAACTCGCATGCGTTCAGTCTAATAACTTTTAATGTCTGGCCCTAAAATGTCTTTATAAAAAATAGCTTTACAGCATAATAGTCCAGGTGTCTTTCTGCTTGTTACTGGAGATTAAAAAAATGTGTGGGTTAGCTTTCAGAGATGTCCACCCCAGAAAGACCAGGAAGAAAAAGACATGCATTCCATTCTGCAGGCGCGGGTCCTGGAAGCGCTCGCTCGCGGCCCAGCTCGACTGGGCACTGCTCGCAGGGGCCCTTCCCCGCCTGCCTTTTGCATCAGTTGTTACAAGCAGCTCTGGAGCATGAAGATTTAATTCTGCCCAAGTTTCGGGTTTCAAACGGTAGAGATGTTTCACTTCTGCTTTGAGAATGGCTGTTTTTTATAACTATGTGATGAGAACTAAAACAGAATGAATAAAATCGCACCCAATATCAGTCCCAGTCAATAGTCTCATTTTTAAAAGGGAAAATATCTGCTAGCTAGAGCTGATTTTGGCCTTGACCTTGACTTAGTAATCAACTTGAGATGCTTTTGATTATTTTTGGCATGGGGACACTCCAGGATATTTAAAAACTTTCCGTGTGGATTTACAAACCACCTCCATTTCGGATTTATGTTCTCATCAAGCCTGCACCATCTTGTCCTTAGGCAGAACAGACACCCCACCCCCTTCCCAGCATAAAAGACCCTTGTGAGCAGCCCAACGGGGGTCACCTTTGGCCTCGACGTCCGCGCCCCCAGTCTGGGAACAGTTAGGCCGGAACACCCCTCCCCCACTCTCACCCCTTCCCGCCAGCTTTGTGAACTGGGGCTCCCGCTCGCCCTTGAGGTTCTGCGCTCCGGGTAGGCGGGAACCTTGCTTCTCCTCTTCTCCCCCCACGCCCGCCTGCCCCCACCTCCCCACCCCACCCGCGCTCAGCGCCGCGCTGGGTGCGCTGGAGAAGCTCAATACGTGTCAATTGAATTGAACTGCTGCGGGTGCAGGCTGTACGCCGCCGCCGAGCACCGATCAACACGACGTTACCGAGTGGAAATTTATGGGGCGAACGCTGTAAGCCAAAAGTTGCTCCCTGCCAAGGAAAATAAAACGCGGGAGATAATCTCTCGGAGCCAGGGTGAGGGACCAGGGCTGACCCTCCAACCATCGAGGTGCAGACAGTGAAATGCCGAAAAAACGGGAAAAATTCTGTCGGATCTCCGCTCCCCTATCCCTCCTCCGCCTCCTGGTGTCCCCAAGAGCTGCTCCCTGCGCCTCCCCTGCCCCCCCTCTAAACAATTCCCACACAATTGAAACGTCCGGGGAACTCGGCCGCGGAGTTAGGGCGGAACAGCCACTGTTGCCCCGGGTGGTGTTTTCAGGTAGCTCAGGACACCAAAATGGGAAGGAGCTCCTTCGGGAAGAAGGGGCGATCTGGGGTGGGGGTGGGCGCAGACGCGCACTGCTAGGCTCTGCTCGGTTTCGGAGGGGACGCGAGGCCGAGAGAGCGCTGCACTGGTGGCGAGAGGCGGCAGTGGCGGCTGCCGCTGGGGTTTGACAGCTTTGGCTGAGCGGAGTGCGAGGCGCTTTATGGTAATTGCGGTCCTCCACTGGCCTTCTGGGTAGCAAGGGGAGTCTCGGCGCGCGCCTGGGAGAGCTGCCCCCGCAGCCCCCATCCCCTCGGCTCGGGCTCTGCGGGCCGCCCTCGCCGCCGCCTCCGCCGCCGCCCAAGTCGGTCTCCGGCTCGCCCAGGACGTGCGTCCTGGCCGGGTGTGTGCATCCAAGTCGGCCCGAGCTGTGGAGGGGACGGCAGGGGACTACGGGGGGTGCCACCCAGGTGGTCCGGGGTACGGACTTGGAGAGGCCCCGACGCACCGGCCTGGGAATCGATGACGGCCGGGGAAACTCGGGCAAACCTTTCCTGGGGAATCACCCCTCCCGAAACCCCACCGCGGAGGCGCCGCAACGGAGGGAGAGCAGAGACTGGGGGAGCTCAAACTTGCGAGAGCTGGAGGCGGCGGCTGTCGCCCGAGCGCTGCGCCTGAGGGGGGAGGGGAGGCGGCTGCTGGGAGGGAGGGA